AGATGTAGACCAAAAAAAAATATTTCAAAATCAGTTATTTCTCTCTCATTACCTGTTTATGTTTTGCATTGTGTTTACTGCCACTGTGCTAAGATTTACAGATTGAAAATCACTTTTCTCACAGTTCCTTTCAGGCGCAATCGTATATTTAATGTACCTGTCACAAAACGATTCTTTCTAAGAGTGATGAACACTGTATTCTCCTTTGACTTTGGTTAAATTACTGACCCCAAGAATGTTCTCTGCCTAGTGAGTACATGCATTTTTTGGGTACTTGTCTTGCTGACATGGCAGGTTCTTAGGAGACTGTACAGTGAAAGGTGGTTTTTTTCCTTTTTTTTTTAACCACCTAAGTTCCATTTAATTAAATACCTTAGGACAGAAAAACAATTAAATATATACTGTAAACATAAATCATTAATTTCTGACCTTGCTGTTGTGGGCAACTGGAAAGGTGAATGATTATGAAAAGAATAATTATATTCCAGCTATAACACTATGATTCCATTCTTTTTACAACAGTTTGCATATAACTTGGTTCCATTTTGGTGAAGGAAGAAGCCTTATTAGACAAAAATACTGTGGGTAGACTCTTCTACTCTGAAATAAATGTTTGCTGTTTAAACAGTTATAAATACGTCACATTCAGCTATTTAGTTTTAAAATAATATTTGAATAAATATACAGTATTTGAATAAATATTTATTTCAATGCTTAAATGATGTTTTGCAATTCATTAGACTTTCAAAATTGCTGTGTTGGTGTAACTCTCTCCCATTCAGGTCAAAGGCAACATTTCCTAGGCAAAAGTGTTGGTGGACCATTTTGAAAATCCCTTTACTAACTAATGTAAACGGCATGCATTGTTTGCTAATCTCATAGTTATTTTGTTTATAGTTTAAAAATTAGAACAAAAAAAGACTTCTCTAACAGGATTTTCAAAAAATGAAATAAGAAAATAGAAACCAAAATATTTTAAAGCAACAGTAATCCTTCTTCCTTGAATGAAACGGTACCTTGCCCTTGTTCCTAATTTTATACAGTCTGAATATTAGCAGATCTATAGTAGTATCTGATATATGTATTTATACATATGTGTGTATGTACCCACACACATGAATTTTGAAGGATGACAAATGCTGGGGTGCTTTCTATAAGTACTCCTTTTGGCTTTTGATGCAATTGTTTAATACTGAATAACAACTCTGCAGCAGTCTGGATGAAGAAAGTAAGCCTACAGCTTCCAGATTTAACCACAGGAGATGATAAACCAGGTGCTTTAGGAGGATTCAATTCAGCAAGGCCAGTGTGATTAACACCTGTCACCTTCTGAAGAGTCCCACCCGCCCGTAATGACTGGTTCAGTGCTCTGTTTCATATCTCTTCCCGCCCCAGCAGAAGAGCAGCCTTTATGGTGATGCTGGGGCAGCAGTCAGTGGTGGCTCCAAGGGATCAGTAACATCTACTGAATTGACGCCCTGGATGCTTCTCGCACCACTGCCTTCCTGCCTGCTGGTGTTCTGCCATCTACATACCTAAGCTTAACTTCTGAGGGCAGGTGGTACTGTCTGCAAGGTATTTTTTATTACTCAAAGTAGAGCCAAAACCAGCTGTCAGCTGCTGCTTGACCTAGATTCCTCCTTATCCTGGATAGAGGATTTCAGTGTCCTTATAACAGGCATATACATTTACACTAATCCATAAAACCTGGATGTGTTTACCTGCTGGGCGGGAATAGTTTTCCCATGGGTGTTTTAGGTGTTTCCTTGAAACTCTTCTTTCTTGGGAGAAATGCTGTATGCTTTCCTTTCAGACATCGAGGCTAAGCTAAACACCAGTGAAATAACTGCTGTTGGTCTGGGAGAGCTTTGGGTCAGGGCTTTGCTGAGTGACATTGAAATTATTAGAAATTTAATAACCAAATGTTAAATTTTAAGATGTATGCTTTTTTTTTTTTTTGCATTCTCTGAAGACTTGGATTTAAGAAAACAGATGTTATTGCCACTAGTTCTGATTCACATTTTCTTGATTTTAATTTTTATTATGCATGCAATGATACCTGTCAGAAAATGTTCAGCTGCTGTCCATGTAAAGCTGATTCTTCTTTTTCATAAAATCATAGACTCATAGAATGGAGTTGGAAGGGACCTTAAAGATCATCGAGTTCCAACCCCCCTGCCATGGGCAGGGACACCTCACACTGTACCAGGTTGCTCAAACCCCCATCCAGCCTGGCCTTGAACACCTCCAGTGATGAGGTACCCACAACTTCCCTGGGCAACCTGTTCCAGTGCCTCGCCACCCTGAGAGTAAAGAATTTCTTCCTAATATCTAATCTAAATCTACCCTCTTTCAGTTTAAAACTGTAAGCCCCTGTCCTATCACTACACTCCCTGATAAACAGTCCCTCTCCATCTTCCCTGTAGGCCCCCTTTAAGTACCGGAAGGCTGCTACAAGGTCTTTCTAGAGCCTTCTCTTCTCCAGGCTGAGCAAGTCCAACTCTCAGCCTGTCTTCATAGGAGAGGTGCTCCAGCCCTCCGATCATCTTTGTGGCCGTTCTTTGGACTTGCTCCAACAGGTCTGTCCCCTTCTTATGTTGGGGTCCCTGGAGTTGGATGCAGTACTCCAGGTGGGATCTCACCAGAGCGGAGTAGAGGGGGAGAACCACCTCCCTTGACCTGCTGGCCATGCTTCTTTTGATGCAGCCCAGGATACTGTTGGCTTTCGGGTCTGTGAGCGCACATTGCCAGCTCATGTTGAGCTTCTCATCAACCAACACCCCAAGGTCGTTCTCCTCAGGAATGCTCTCAATCCATTCTCCACTGAGCCTGTGTCTGTGCTTGGGATTGCCCTGACCCAGGTTCAGGACCTTGCACTTGGCCTTGTTGAACTTCATGAGGTTGGCTTAGGCCCACCTCTCCAGGCTGTCCAGGTCCCTCTGGATGGCATCCCTCCCCTCCAGCATGTCGACCGCACCACACAGCTTGGTGTCATCAGCAAACTTGCTGATGGTGCACTCAACCCCACTGTCCATGTCACTGACAAAGATTTTGAACAGCACCGGTCCCAGTACCAACCCCTGCGGAACACCGCTTGTCACTTGTCGTTTTCTTGAGAGAATTTTCAACTTGGTGCTTGCCTTGGCTAGATGGACTAAAAATGGGGAAGATCCATAGTGGAGGGAGAAATGTTTTACTACAGTATTGTGCAGAGCACTGCAAAATGTATGTTGTTCAGTAGACTCATCTTGATGCACATTCATAGCAAAGCATGCCAAAGGTGAGAAAAACCCCACAACCCTTTGCAGATAAAAGATACAGCTCACACTGAGACATGTGAATGGGATGAGAAAGTTTAACAGAATCAGGCAGGCTGAAGTTTATAAGGACAGAGAGTTTACTGGAGAGCTGACATGTCTGAAAAAAGACAAATTTATGTACACTGGAAGGAAACTTTTGCTCTGGAGCCTGCAAGGAAGGTGGTCCAGTCAGCATGAACTTGGTCATCTCAAGGTTGCGGATGTGCTGGTTTAGATACCTTTTGTGTGGCTGTGCAGCACTGAAACAAGAATTCAGAGAAGGCAAGGGTATGGAAATCCTGACAGCCTTGGAGATCACTGACGAAGTCCCAGTGTGGTCAAAATGTTGCCCATTTTGTCTTTATACCATTTATACCTCTGTAAGTTGTGGGTAAATCCACCAGACAGTTAGGAGAGTTGTAAAATGGAATGTGGAATTGGGCTCACATATGCGGTAACTATACCACAGGAGGAACAACAATCTGGAATTAATTAAACTTACTAACTTCAGTGACATTTTATAATGTATCCTTCTAATTGCTCTGTATACAGCACATTGTGAATTTTGAAGAGCTGGAAATTTAGTCTAAAATACCAAGATTTATACGGAGAAAATGTTTTAGTGGTATTTTTCATTCCTGAAATATATAACCTCTATGACTAATGGTTTTATTATATTTTTCAGGCTTTGTTGCTAGTAAGAAAAATGCTTAACTTTTAAAACACTATTTTTTTTAGTACATTAATGGTACAGCTGGACAGCTGGGATACAGCCTATGTGTATTCATGGTTGGTTTTGAATAGCATAAATGTAAATGGATCCAGTCTAATACTATGTTTAAGAGAAACAAATTATATAAATACTAAATTGTATGTCAAAGGCCTTTCTTTTTGGTGCAATAAGTACCTTTCCGCTATTAACAGACAGAGTAGGTGTTATTAATTCCCAATAATGCCAGTATTTTCCAAGATCATATGGGTAACAAAGGAAGAGAAAAGGTTTATGGGTGTGAGTCTAAATTTGTGTTTCAGCTGCAGTAAATGTTCTTAATAGTGTGTTTTTTCTTTATGCTGTGCTGTGAAGCTTGACTCTGTTTTGCAGAGTTTGAATCTCAACTCTCTGTATAACCATTGCAGTAGAGGTTGAAGGTGAAGAAATGATAATATGGTACTTGAAATAAAGTGGTTTTGCTAACAGACCATTGAACATTGTCTGTTTATACAGGAATAGTGGTTAAACCTCTACTGAGCTTACTCCATAGCTTGACGAAATTTTCTTGCTTGGGAAGGCAATATGCCCGTCTAATCTTTAGGCTGGTCAGCAAGGAGAAGATTTAACTTTCTGTAGTTTAGAGTAGTGCTTTTGACATTGTCTCTGTGATCCAGTGACACGGTGTTAAATGGTAGTCGGACCTAGATTCAATAAGGTGGAAAATAGGTTGGCATATAAACAAGTGAGGCAATTGCCTTGTACAGTAAGAAATACTGAAAATATTTCTTGTAATCTAACCATGGCTTGGCATGACCTTGCTCTGACACCATGACTCAATGACACAATCTTATCCTCAGGAGAAGGGGGTTTTAAAGCCTATTATTAACTTCCTATGGGCCAAACAAACAAACTGGAGAAGAAATGGGGTCATTTGTGGTTGTTTATTTCTTTCTCTTCCTGACACTTCTCTGCCTCCTGATTCTTTCTAGTGCCTGGAGCCCTGCAAAGAGTCCTGGGACCTGAAGAAAAACCATTGCCAAAGCTTCTGTGAGGTACGTCGTCAGCTCAAGGGCACTCTTTCTCACTTTGTTCTAGCTGTTTCTTTCATTTAAAGTATTAGCTTCAAGGAGACAGCTAACAAACATGGGATTTTTACAGCATTCGCCTTCATTTGAATCGATACACATATAACAATTCAGTCATGTTAAGTCTGAGGTTAAAAAAAAAATAAAAATTTCTGACCAAATGATTTGTCTCAACTTGAAGTTTTAAGACTTGATCCAGCCACACTTACAGAGCTTCTCTCAGAAGGCACTGTTAAATCCCTCCTGTAAGATGATATTTCTACCACAAGCCCTTATATCTTTTCTGGCCATGTGTAAGAATGAGTATCTTTGTTTAAAAGATAAAATGTCATTATGTGAAAATCCATGTGCAGGGGAGCTAGAAAAGATGTTTTTCCTGTAAGTGAAAGTCAATCTGATTTCTAAAAGAATACCTCTCTAGGAGTAACTGGGTTGTAGACCCCAGTTCAGGAAACTGCTATCAAAATACGTAATTATTCAGGAACAAGTCTTTGGAAAACTTGTTTCTGAATCATCTTTCAGAATAACCTTGTGAATAAGAAAATGTAGATCAGTTAAACTAGTACAAAAAAGGAGGTGGTTTTATTGGATTTAAAACATAGCTCTGCTGAGTTGGGGGAAGTCAGCTCTTACAGTTCTTAAGTGGTTTTCAGAACAAAATGGAAATATCTTGATAGAAAGTTGCTTTATTATAACTAAATCAATATAAAGCTACAACTTTATTCAAGGCTTTTCTGATAAAAAAATAGAAGCGACCTTAATTGATACATTGATCTCACTGGTATACTGATTTAACTCCTCCCTTGTCAGTGTGGGCACTCTTTTTCTGGTACAAAAGCTGTCTTATGTTTAAATGATTTTAAGCATCATGAAGATGATTAAGAAAAGCTGTGACGTCAACTAAATAAAATTTAGATCCAACTATGTGTAAATAGGGATTACTGGATTACTTATCTACGTAGTTACGTTAGGAGAAAAAGTAAAAATTTCTTACGAAAACCAATCCTTGTAAGAGTTCTTTAACCCAGATTAATTGCTGCTTCCTCATATATAAAACTCTAGGGTAGTGTAATAAAGCAGTTTTAGTGGATCTAATTTATGTCATTCTTGTATATCACTTTTCACTTAGGCTGTGTGTTTCCAGATATGGGTGAAAATACATATAAAATTGGTTTAAAAAGGAAACATTTGTAGAACACTGTTCTATTGTAGTTAAAAACAGTGAGCATCCCTCTTTGATTAGCATTTTCTGGTTGAAGCTAAATTTAGAACTTCAAAGGCCTGTAATGAAGAGCAGCACATTTAGCAGCTAACTGAAAAATGAGCTGTGAAATAGGGTGAGGAGGAGAAGCCTTGAGGACGTATTATGCCTTGGGGAGCTATAAAGTTTTTAATTAAGTAGCTGCAAATTTGTGATGTTTTAGGATTTGAAATTAGCTTCACACACAAAGCACGGGACCACTTTCCTTTCTCTCAGACTTAGGTTTGCACCATAGACATTGTTTGATTGAATTAAATGACGCTGTTTTCCTTTGAGAGTGTTTTCAATCTTTTTGTATTTTGCAAAAAAATCTAGAAGCAAGTTTGGCTTTGTGTTTCTCAAGGTCCCTGCTCAGTACGTTATTTTTTTATGTACTGAATGAGTGTACTGATATTAAAGGAACTTTATGTGTGAAGAAGAAAAGTCGACAGTTTACCTGACTCCTTTTTTTTCCCCATAAATTCAGTTTCCTGCTGGCTTAGCTTTTTAACTGACTAACGGTGGGATCAGGTGCATTCCAATGAGGGGAACAGCAGGAGTGCATGTCCAAGGATCTCTAGGGTCAGTAGGAGGTGTAAGGACTGCTCATTTTGGCAGCCTTTAGGCTGGTTAAGCCATAACATTCAAATGCATCCTTAAAAGCCTGATTCAAAAATTCTGGACTGTTCTGTAGGACAAAATGGGAGAGGTAATGTAGTGGCACGTTCCTGGACCACAGTGACTTTGGAGAAAAAACTGACACATAGTCTGTGAAACACATAACACATAATAGTGAAGTCTTTCTCATTTTGCCAGAAATATAAGAGCAGTAAAAATAAGAAAGTAAAACATTTGAATATGGAAGGAGGTTGCAGAAGTTACATTAATAGCTGGATGGAGAGTGGGTTATAACTCCTGTGTAGGCTTAGGAATCTGTAAATCAGATCTGTCAGAGTGGAAGGTTTTTGGTTGCTCTGAGATAGGAAGGCAGGCTATACATAAGCCCAGTTACATGGGTTGCCCACCTACAGTGCCACCAGTCACTATGAGGGAATCACTTTAACTGTTTTTGCGCCAAACTAAATAAAGCACCATATGAAAGAGGAGATGAAATACCCGTGTCGCACACAGTGTTCTCCCCAGGGTGCTAGATGCTATTTTTAATAAAGTTTTAAGTGAACCTTGCAAACCTCTGAGTAGTACACGTTATAAAATGTCTATGCGTTGAAGCAACCTCTCATATATCTAGGACTTCTCAAAGAAGTAGCATTTACTTTGACCTTTAATCAATTTAAGGCTTGTTTTAATCTGTATTTTCTGCTGATCATTTTATCAGAAATTCAGTTCCAGTTCCACGAGGAATTATACAATTACTAGTATGTTGGCAAGAACATAAAGATGCTGCAAAATCTTCTCTTAGCCAACTCAGTTCAAATGGTATAATGAAACAAGATTTCACTTATTTATCTAGAATGGCATTACATCAGATATTGTGGGTAAAGTGTTATAAAGTACAAAGGGAGGAATGTAGGGTAGTCCACAAAAAAGACTCTGACCATTGCTTCCCCTTTGTATTGGGAATGTTTTTAATCTGTCATTGAGCAACTTTGTAGCCAGCCAATGTGGGGAAAACAAGGGAAAGCTGGCAGATATAAACAACTTTATTCCATTAAAGATGGTGGTCTTACTTGAGGGAATTCATCATTCCGTACTTAGAATGCTTTTTTAGAAGTGGTTTAAATACATAAATCTTCAGGGATAGTTTGCAAAAGCTGAAGATCTGAATTTTCCTTTAGGAGGTCTTTGAAAACATACAACTTTTTTTTCTTTTTTTCTCCCCTGTTGAAAACTTTAAACAATTCTTTTGTTTTCCCTTCAGCCTCTTTTCCCCAAGAAGAATTATGAATGCCTAACTAGCTGTGAATTCCTTAAGTACATCCTGTCTGTGAAGCAAGGGGACTGCCCAGCACCTGAGAAGGCCAGTGGTTTTGCAGCTGCCTGTGTTGAAAGCTGTGAAGCTGATAGTGAATGTTCCGGAGTGAAGAAATGCTGTTCCAATGGATGTGGTCATACGTGCCAAGTTCCAAAAAATCTGTACAAAGGTAGAGATTACTAATATGTACTCATATCGAGCTAATAACTTCAGGCCATAATAAAGTCTCCTAGAAAAACAGGGCTTTCATTTCATGGGAGTTTGTATAGATGGGAAGAAAAAGGGGAGGTGTTTTTAGAGACGTGGCTGGACACTGAAAGGGTGGGAAGCCAGAGAAAAATGTTGCTCAGGTTTCTGAATTTTTTTCCCCTTGTGAAGCCCATGTCTGGAAATCTGTGGAATGTAAACATGTGGCTATTATGAATCATCTTAAGCAGAACAAACTTGCCAATTTAGGTGAAATCTCATTTAATTTGATACAGATGAGAGAGAATGCAGCAGGAAAATATTTAACGATAAATAGTTCAAATCCTATTAACCACAAACAACAATAATGTTAATAAGCCAAGCAGGTAGGACTACCAAATAGGAAGTGTGAGGTAATCTGGTAAAAGAACATATCAATGCAGTATATTTGGCATTGGTGTTCTTAATGACCTAAGAACAAAGTAGTGAAAGATTATAATATCCACATGTTTATATTAATTCATTATTTAAATCTAAGACAATCTTATTAAAAAAATTTTAATTGGATTGAGTCCTTAGATTCTCTGAAAAAGGTTTTCCTTGACATCTATCAGGAAGAACGTACAGACTAAGAAATTATTTGCTTAGACACACTCCAGATTTTGTTGCAATTAAAAAAAGCTTTATACATGGAAATATTCTGAAAATGTACTCCTAAGACAGAACGATGACCACTTATGAAAGGCATTTTCTTGTTCCACAGAGTTGGAATGTTTTGTTAGAAATCCACTGTCCTTACTTCAGTGATAAAAAATAAATATTAATCAGTTAGTTATTCTTCTGATAGCATGGGCTCTCTGTGGAGAGCCTATTCAGAACTCTGAACTAAGCTCCAGGCTTAGGTCTGAATCCAAACTTATTCCACCTGTGGATGGAAAAATGGTAAAATATGCAGGGGAGATGGTGATTTTATTTTGAAGTTCATTGCTTTACCTGAAATGTTGAGAATGTATGTCAGAAATAATGTGCTAATAATAACTTTTGAATCCTGTCTTTGAGTATATAGGCTGGGCCATCAGGAAGCGCTGTCTTATTTACTTACGTAAATGGAGAAAATTTGATCTAGAAGTCATAGAGGTTGAGTAAGCATAAAACTGAGGAAGGTAGTTCTCAAAGTATTTTGAACATCGGGCAATACTGCGATCCAGATTTCCAGTGCAGAAGGGAAATTCTCTTGCTTCCAAGGATAATTCAGAGCAGCCCCTTTAAAACTATAAGGAATTAATACACTCTTATACACAGCACCTTTCAAAATGAAAATTATTGAAATGTATCACTTAGTTATTTCTTTCATCTTCTTGAGACAAATGGACAGAGGGATAAACTGTCATTCATATTGTATATGAAATGATTTACATGATCAGGCTCCATACCACAACTACAAAGCATTCCAGTAAATGTAAGAGCTGGAAAAGGTAAAACCAAAGCAAACAAGCAAACAAACAAACAAATTAAATAAGTTTATATGCTTTTGGAAAGGACACAGGATATGACAGGATATGATACATTGTATAACTCCACACTGGAAAGTTCAGCGTAATTACATGGGAACAGAACTAACCTTCTCTAACTTCTTATCACCTATCTGCAGGAGGTGCTTGCTTGTAAGAGCATGTATGTCTTGCAGAGGAAGGGGAAGCCCAATACTGTACTGCCTTCTCAGCTGATGAATTCAGCTAATTAGCTTCTTCAACCTGTCTTTCTGCAACAAAAGACAAATAGAAGCTGAACAGGCTTGCTATTCATTTCCTCCAGGGGTAAATGACCTTCCCATAGCTAAGGAAGACCAAACTCTGCAGGCATGACTAAGATCTAGTGAATAAGTTTAGTACTTATCATTTTTACAGCACTCACAGCTAGAAAATGAACTCAGATTGAATCTAGGAATATACAGAAGTTCCTATAGTTTCACTGTTGATCAAGCTCTGGAGATAGTTAAAACAGCAGATATAAAAGACCCATCTAATTTGCTGGATTTACAAAATGGATTTGCCCTCTCGTACTAAGTGCTAAAGCCCAATCCTAAAAGAATATTAATGTAAGTACACTTGCACCAGAGTCATATATTGCAAATGTTGTTAGATTAACGTAACAAGTCCTGTTACTTGTTACGTTATTGCTTATTGACTTGCATCCACTATGATCTCTAAACTGTCGGTTATCATTGCATTTTTTCATCTCTGTTGGGAAAATTACTAATCGGTTACATAGTCTTCACATTTTTATTTCCCTTTACTGGAGATAGCAAATGTTCTCTCTTACTCCTCTGTCATCTGCCCCATCCACCTCATTTACATTGTCTCAACTACTGAAGGACTTCAGAAAGTCCATGGCCTACCTCATTATTTTTTTTCCATATGGACATAATGATGTTATAAATAACAGTAAGTGCCTAAAGTACATTTGGTACTTCAGAGATAGAAATGGGGGCAATATCTTTGCTTAGAAGTAAAACAGTTTAAAAATGTGGAAAAAAACCAAAGGGAGAGAAAGGGATGGAAAATGCTTGATCATGTTTGCTTTGTCTAACATGCACGTATGCATCCCCAAGTAAGGACAAGGCTGAGGTCTCTGAACTGGTGACAGCTGAAAAAATCACCCATCACTTTTTTCCTGTTCAGAAGTTAGAGGTCTCTCAGATGTGATGATGCAGCTACCTGTGTGAACTTTCTGGGACCCCTTTTTAACAAAAATTCAGGGTTCATGCTGCTAAACCAGCCTAACTAATTTTGTCTGATATGTGTAAGGAAGCAATCTATACAGCAAAGCAAACTGCAGATCTGGTCAAGGTAAATTGTGAAGAGAAGATTATGACATTTAAAGGGTATGATGATATGACAATATCATAATAGGATAGGTGGAGCCAAATGGTCATCAACGGTTTGAAGCCTCTTGACATGCTTAAAGAAAAAACAGTTTTGTATTAAAAATTAGTGTACAGTTTTAAAAGTGTGAATCTCAGAGTCTTTGAACAACTGCGTTTATAATTGTACTGATGCCATGAATGTACCCTTTACTGTCCAAAGCGCTTCCATGGAAACTTTTTGAATTCCTGGGGAACTGACAGTTGAGATACAGATTCTTATGGTGGACCAGTGTGCATTTATTTTTCATGGCACAGGGATGCATGTACCATCTGAAAGACACCCTTAGAAACAGTTTTCCTGGGGTCTGGTATTGCACACATACCCCAGTCAGTGATTTGAATTCTTCAGTTAAGCACTGCAGACTTCAGAGGACTAATTTGTTCCAGCACGATGAAAGGGCTGACCATTTACATAATAAAAAGCACATTGAAGAGTGATTGGATCTACACATCTGGATATGAAATTGATGGTGCTGGTTCTACAAAAGTATTTTAAAATGCACTTGTGCTGTGCTCTGGTTGTTTGTGCTGCAGCGCTCCATCTGCACGCAATTACGTAACAGCGGAGAGGCTGGGATACTGGCAATCAAGTGAATCCAACTGCCCCTAATGCAAAGCAGATGGAAGTTTTCCTAATATGCAAATAGTAGGATTATTGTACATCATAATTAAAGAAGGATTTTCAAATGTGGAAATCCTAACTGACATGTTCTGTGATGTTCGTTATATTAGACTAAGACTGCTGGTTGTTGAAGGATATCCAGGATTTAAACTGCTGTGATAAACAGATTTAAGTACTGGATTTTCCTCAGGTTGATTTTAGGTTTCTTTGAGGACTACAATATCAATTTTTATTTACTCATAGCTAATTGTATAATCAGATTTAGGAGAAGGTCTCTTATAAAAGTGGTTTGTTCACCTAAGGGAATTTTGGTACTCAGTCATTTGTGGCAGACTGAGTAGGAAACAATTTATTGAACCAACATATACAGCTGGACTTATGTGAACACCCACTGAAATGGCAAAATAACTAAAGCATATACAATAACTTGCTAAGAAGGTTTATATGTCAGCATAGGAATCTTATTTGTGACATATCCTGGAGTGACAAAATGCTACGGACTCGAATATATGAGTTCCTAGAGTCTGTCTAGAGAAATGTATCTAACACTTGATTTGTTGATTTAATCAAGAGATGCCAAATTTGAAGAGTTGTTTTTTTCCTCCAAGCTACTGCAGGTGTTTTCAAAAAGGTGATGTTACCAGCAGTAGAAATAACAGAAATAACTGTCTTTCAGTGTCACTCTGTAATGAGAAATTACTGCAAAATTTTAGAAAGACATCTTTGTCTCTGAAATGTAAAAATTGGACAATATGCATTAGATATAACATATCTATTCCAAGATGCCATGGAATTACCTTTCCTAGGTCTTCAGGGAAGAGTGGAGAGAGACACATCATACAACACAGCTGCATGTGACTCAATAAGATCATACTGCCATGGAGAAGGCAAACAGCTTGTTTAAGTATATCAGACTAATGTAAGATGTGGGAAATAATCCTGCTTCTCTAGTGTACACTGGTACGAGCTTAGACAAAGTCTGTGCCCAGTTTTAGTCTTGACTCTGGAGAAGGGCTGTGGGCCAATAGGAGAATTTTCAGAGACAACTGCAAGAGTGTTCAGAGGTCTAGAATCACTGATTTAAAAGGAAAATGGAGTGCACTATGGTTATTAGACTGAAGAAGAAAATATTCAGAGGAATGATAACAGTCTTGCAGTACATAAAAGGCTCCTTCATAGATGAAAGAATCTGTTCTCCATGATCCATGAATAGCTTGGACAAGTATCTAGTTTAAGATGCAGCGGAGGAGACTAAATAAGTTAGTGAGAAAGCTTTCTCATGGTAAGGATAGAGTAGTGGAATGGATTACTATGTGATGCTGCAGAAATTCTGTCATTAGATGTGTTAAAGGAAGAATTAAGTGAAAAACTGAAGAACAGGAATAGCTGATTCTGCCTGGGATCAAAGGGGTCTTTCTCCAGGTTATCACAGCATAATTAGAAAGTGTTTACTGTGAGATCAATTTTAGGTTAAAACTTTCAGATCCTTTAGTTTTTAAATGAAATAAAGAAATAATTTTGAAGGTTCTTTAAAAACAAGTTTTACTGTTAGCAGAGGTAAGTCAGCTATGAGCACTCCTGAAACTCCCATGCTCATCAGCCTATCCAATCCCTCCTTTTTTCCTTCTGTCTGACCAAAAATCTCCTTTTTAATTTTTTTTTATACAGCTTCATCTACATATTGTTTAATTGCATTTTGTAGATTACATATTTTTGTCTGCACGTTCCTATTACAGGTGTTCCACTGAAACCCCGGAAAGAATTAAAATTCATAGAACTTCAGTCTGGAGACCTGGAGGTGAAGTGGTCTTCAAAATTCAATATTTCCATTGAGCCTGTGATCTATGTTGTTCAGAGGAGGTGGAATCAAGGAATCCATCCAAGTGAAGATGATGCTACTAACTGGCAAACCGTGGCACAGGTCAGTTCTTTGCAAAGCAATATGGATCCCTAGCTTCCAGACCGTGATCTAAAGGTCCTCTTCATGTTGTAGAAGAGTTAGATCACTTACAGGTGGGGAGGCTCATGCAGAGGGATCCCTTTATAGGGTCTCTTTCCAGGTCATGACAGAGCTGCAAACAGAATCTAGATCTCCAAGGCTTTACTTCACTGCTCAATGGACTGGTCTCTAGATTTACTCAAGAGAAATGAACTTCAGTATTTTCACTTCCAGTTTTTCAGTTACAGAAACATCAGATGCTTTTAGTATGTATTGAAAATGACTTCATAAAAAATGGTGAATATATTAGTAAAGAAGTAAATAGTGGTTTCCTTGTCCCCAGAAGAGAAAATACTCAGAGGTTTGTTTTCAAAATGAGTATATTTTGTGGGTTTGCTCTTTTTAGATAAAACTAGCTGGAGACTTGATTTTCATAAGGCCAATAAGTGGCACTTTCTTGTAAGCAAATACTTACAATCTATTCAGATGGAAATTCCAAAGTCTCTGAAAGCCACAAATCTCTTGAAAAATGTAAAATTAGATATCAAAATCCATTGAAGGGAGCACATAAAAGACATAGTCCTTTTGAGGTCAGTGGGACTCAGTGCACAATCTCCAAGGCATGGCTTGGGTCTTATAAAAGAGATAAGAAAATACAATTGGTGAAAAGGCTATTTAATTTTCTAAAATAAAACAAGGAATGAAAAAGAGACGAAACACTTTATTCTTTGTAAAGTTTGTTTTTTCAGATGTTACCCTCCCAATTCAGAAAAGACTATGATGTCATGCTCTTATCACTCAGTGCAATCCAGACTGAAAATGTAAGATTCATGAGCAAATGTTTCTTAATGAGAAGCAGCCAACAGAGCATAAATTTTCACTTAGTTCCTTCCCAGTTTCAATCTGTTTTTTAACATGCTGACAGTCCACCTGGATGGCAGAGTTCCAATCGTTTATCTTAACTGCTTCGCCCTCATCCCTGCTGACAAGAAAAGTAGAATGCTGATTTTGAAAAGACCTGCAAAATGTCATTATAGCTAGGAAAAAAAGGAAAGAGAGAATAAATAGAACCATCCACAAACTGAAGGAAAGAGTTTAAGTTCTGTGACAATCTGTGTTCATTCTCTATTCAGATTATGTAGGAAAAAGCTATCTTAAAATAATGTCAAGCTTGTGAAACTGAACACTCAGAAGTGAAGCTCTTAGCTTCAGTGTGGTGCTACAGGGGGCTGTCACTATGTTAGAGTCTTGCTCAGAAAAAGTCACCGGCAGCAGAGCTTGGCATGAAACCCTGCTTGTGCAAGCCCAAGGGAACGTGCAGACCTCCAAACGTGATAAAGTTGCAGTGAGTTATTTATTATCTCTCAGCTGATGTGCAGGTCTTCAGTCTGCATTCTGCATATTCAGCAACCAACCTCCTGCTTTTGCTTCTAGGAAAATACCACATAGCAAAAATGAGCCAAATCTGGATTACTTCCTGCTGTAACTGTGGCACGTATATGTGCTAGACTGTAGAAGCCTAACTTTTCTGGCTGGTGGATCTAGACTGCAGATGTAGCACACTGCTGTGCTTTTTCTCATCCCAGAAACAGACCTCATGCACATTTCTGGAAGCACAGACTATATATGCTCCATAGTAGTGGAGCGCATACGAACCTCTGCCTTCTTGCAGTGGATGTACAGGGGAGAGTGTTTCAGAAATGTGTTCCTGTGCAAGAGTGTTAAGAATCTTGACAGCTGCCTTTCCTGGGAGTCTGTTACATGTGGGCAGAAGGGGCTAAGTTAATCTCTGTGTCAGGAGAAGCCTCCTCCAACTTTCTGAGAGCCTAGTTGTCCCTTTTGCATCACAAGAGATGTGTGGTTGATTGTGTGATGGACCCCATTGGGGATGTCAGTTAAGAACAAGCTTCAGGATGCCTAACTGGCTTTGTGAACTGTGTATACCTTACGGGACATACAGGCTGGGCACCCTTGAGGGGTACTAGTAACCAGAATTTCTGTCTCTACAGAGTAGTGTACCTCCATGGTGTTTGTAGTTTTAGGCATCCTACCAGGCAGTCAAATTTCTTTAATGTGTGGCTGCATGCAGTAGAATTTATTTTGCAATATCAGCAACAAGGATGGATATCCAATTTGACTAAAGTGACTGTGTGCACAGCCTCAGGGCTTTTCTTGTCCATATAACTGAGATTTTTTCTTGTACAATTCCAAAACATTGGGCTATAAGACCTTAATTATAGGCAAAGGCTGCGAAGAGCTCAGCCGTTCAGCTGAGAACTCCTGGGGCATTTCAGTCCAGGGGAGGTGATGACGGCTTTTTCATTACTCTGCAGCTTAAGCTAGAGAGCATGTAAAAAGCAGTTGAAGATCAAAAAGGCTATAGGTGAGGATCTGAATTTCTCTATGCCTATACCCATGTGTAATGTAATTATGCGAAGTTATTGTTTCCATCTTCTTATAAGAAATTTAATAATAATTTATCAATGTTGCTCATCCAATATTCTATTTGTACTATATGTCCAAGAAGAAATAGGGTTATAATTTTCCATAATCATAGAATCATAGAATACCAGATTGGAAGGGACCTCAAGGATTATCTGGTCCAACCTTTCTTGGCAAAAGCACGGTCTAGACACAGTGGCCCAGCACCCTGTCCAGCGGAATCTTGGAAGTGTCCAATGTTGGGGAATCCACCACTTCCCTGAGGAGATTATTCCAATGGCTGATTGTTCTCATTGTGAACAATTTTCCTCTTGTGTCCAATCGGAATGTCCCCAGAACTAACTTCTTGACTTCTTTGTCTCTGCTGGTGATGCCCTTGTTGATGCAATGCAGCATGCTCTTGGCTTGCTTTGCCACAGCAGCACACTGTTCACTCCTGTTGAGCTTGTTGTTCATCGGGACCCTCAAGTCCCTTTGCACAGAGCTGCTCACCAGCCAGGTAGATCCCAGCCTGTGCTGCACTCCTGGATTATGTTTTCCCAGGGGCAAGACCTTACACTTGTCCCTGTTGAGCTTCATAAGGTTCCTGTGAGCCCACTCTTCCAGCCTATCCAGGTCTTCCTGCAGGGTGGCTTTCCCTTCTGAACTGTCCACTTCCTCAGTTTGGTGTCATCAGCAAACCTTGTCAGGATACACTTGATCCCATCATCCAGGTCACTTATGAAGATATTAAACAGTGTTGGGCCCAGTATCAATCCCTGGGGCATCCCACTTGTGACAGGTTGCCAGTTTGAAAAGGAGCTCTTTACCACCACCCTCTGGATGTGGCCTGTCAGTCAGGTCCCCACCCATGGCACCGACCTCTTGTCTAGACCATAACACATCAGTTTCTCTAGCAGGAGGCTCTGGGAAACCATGCTGAAAGCTTTGAAGAAATCCAGGTAGACAACGTCCACCGTTTGCCCAACATCAACTGAGCAGGTTACTTTGTCCTAGGAGGTGATCAGGTTTATCAAGCACGGTTTGTCCTTGGTGAATCCATGCTGGCTTTTCCCAGTTACGTGCTTCATTTGACTTGTGATAGGCTCCAGGAGGATTTGTTCCATAACTTTCCCAGGGACTGAAGTAAGACTGATGGGCCTATAATTTCCTGGGTCCTCCTTTTTGCTCTTCTTGTAGATGGGGTGACATTAGCTGCCTTCCAGTCTTCTGGAACTTTATTTTAAAATGTTTATTTTTCAAAAAAACTTACTGTTTTCTATTGCCTTTACATGAGCTAATTTGCAAATAATTTCTCATGTCTCATAAATTTTTACTTGGTATTGAAAAAATAATTTTGAAAAAGTTTGTTTCCTTTGCATTGTATTGTGTCATCAGGTCTTTTCTGATGTTTTCTTTTTAAGAAGGAAAGCTCAGTCTATTAATATTTATTTAACTCTCCGAGTATGTAAAGAAAGCAAACACATTGATAACATTTTTAGTTACTTTTCAGTTGGGGAAAGGATTTTGTTAACTTTATATTTTTACTGCACACTTTTGGGAAAACTTGACATAACAAACCATTTGACTAATTTCCATTGGTTAATATAAAACCTATGGAAAATAAGATACTAGTTTGCCTGGTTAGCTAGTACAGTGTCCTAATGTAGTTATGTGTCCTAAGTGGTTATGTGAAGTTTCTTATGCTACTCTCTTTTAAGGTTTAACCAGCTGAGCAGGACGTGCTGCGCTATTCTGTCAGAATACTGTATATCTTGTGAACAAGCTTATAATTCTGTTTGGTGCTAATGCTTTCTAAAAATAATAATATTGCTGTTTACATTGGAAACTTAGATAGTTAATCTTATTAAGTTAATTAATGAAGTTAATTCAAATATGCCAGGTGAGTTATTTCCAGACAGAACACGTCTGTGTTATGTGAATGGATGTCAAGTATGTACACATACACTTATATATATGTATACATATGGGCAGACAATAATGAAGTTTATTTATTAATTTATTCCTTTATTAAACAAATAAGGAGCTGTATTTACTGCTAGCTTGATTGTGACAAACCTTAGTGCTTCACCTTGGAATTGTCCAAACCCTGTGGACAACTAATCTCTTTTAAAACTTGAAATTTTTGAGACACTTGAAGTTCTGGTTCTGAGGATCACAAAAAGTTTCTGAGCTCTTGACAGCAAGAAATCACTGCTGGAGCTAACCACCAGTCTTGTACAGTAAAGGTTTATTTCTCCGTCTCCCAGGAGCAAAGGCTTGCTTTGGTGAGCATTCTTAGACAGTGCCCACCTTGTGTGGGATTGCATTCACTCGTAACAGATGAGGTCTGCTGTCCTTTGATAGAGTAGCGGATGCAGCACTGTCAGGTTTCTTCTGTATCAGAGGAAACATAAACTCAGCTCTTCTGATACCCTGGATGGTATCACTGCGCTCTTTGAACTGCTAATTCTTTTACCACTGTGCGTAGTTTCAAAAGAAGGTGGAGAGCTATGAACTCAGCAGGGTGAGGCTGTCCTCTCCTATTTCCCTTAAACCTTTGCACTACAGAAGGGAATCCAGGATTGATAGTGTGAAAGAAATGGAATGAACACAGTGAAACAGCCCATTGCTTACTGTAATACTACTCAGCATACCATTTAGTGGGCTTATGTTAATATAAGACAGATATTGAAAGGACTGTGAATATCACGATCTCAGCTCCAAACCTACTTAATAAGTAGGGAGAACTAACTGAAGCAATTAAACAAAAAAATTCGTTTTACCATTTAGGTAGTATAAGATATCTCAGTAGTATTTAACTCTTTCTTGAAATTTATTAAATCTATATAAAGGTTGCTTATAGGTGCCAAAGTAGTTTATACTCTCTAATCCAGGAGTTACACCTCTTGCATGCCATTGAGTTTAACAGGAGCTTTACCAGCAAAATGAATGATGAAAGTAATAGGCCCGAGGCATGTTCATAAATTAAAATAATTTTGGTGATATGGATTGACAGATCATTTGATCTTACAGTATTTCATGGTTGCCATGGAAGAATGACACAACTGAAATCCTTTCTTTTAATTAGCCCTATCAGAATAACTGAGCTGATGAAAATGGCAAACAAGATTCTTTAGCTGAGGAATTTGGGGTCAAGTCTATTCAGATTATGTTTGCCTTGTAATTAAATTCAGCAACTCTGTTTTTAAAAAAACAGTGTTGTAACTAGTTAATTACAATTGGATATTGATCCTGACCCTGATGTCAGTTGCAGCAGTGGTCTGAGTCTATCCTTGGGTTTGTTTTTTTTTTCTGTTAATATAGTGATCGTTTATTTTACTCTAGTTTACTGTTATGTCTTATCTGTAAATTCTTGAGTATGTGGGCCTGCAGACTGGAAAAAACTAGCACATCTGAGTGGTCCATAAAATGAAAATAATAGTAAAAGTTTGTGCAGGTAGTCTCTTGCCTAGGGGAACTGCTTCACTGGACAAGATAATTCACTCTACAGGTAACATAAAAACTAAAAATGGAAGGAGGATGAGGGAGACAATGAAAGCATTAGGACTTTTACCACTGCTTAAGCTATAAATACAAATACAGCAGTCTGAATGGAGGATTCTGAGTAGCAGCAATATGTGAGGGGCTTAAAGCCTGCAACACTTACCAGTCTGAGAGGAGTCTATAGCGCAGTTTAGAAAAGCTCTCTTTTCTTTACGTGCACAGCCAAGCAAGATAGCTGTTTCCCTAAATTTTGCTTGTCACTAAATGAAGAGATTAAGTGTAGGATAACACCTCCAAATTGTATTGGTCAGGGCTCTAAAAATACCACTGCTGGAGAGCTAAAGCAATTTCCTCAAGTTTTGGCTATAAGTTAGGTGAGCAGCTGCTGCTTTCTTACACAGACTGGAAAGAGCAAAAAGCAGAAATGATGCTGTGCCTTTTTTAGGAAGTGCTTGGCATCATTGCAAGTAATATTGAATGCTATACAAGGAAGGTAGATTTTTGAAGTTATACAAAACAGAGCTAGTGAAAATAAATTGGTGTCGCTACATTTTTAGTGAGCTTGCATGTTTGGTCAGTAATGATAATCAGTAATGATTTTATAGTATATTTAGACATATACAGGACATTTGGTTCAGGTTCATGTGTTATTTTGATTAAAGAATTAAATTAAAATGCAATAAATATGACATCCTAAAATAAATTGAAAATTGGATAATTGAGAGGTAATTGCAAAACTAAAATTGCAACAAGTGGATGAGTTTCTGATGAGTTCTATAAAAATGCTATGTCTTCTGTACTTGGCAGCGATTCAGGGGTTGCCAGGAGGCTGTGTTCAGTTCTGGTCTTTGTACCTTAGAAAAAATAAGAAACATTGCAGAAGATAGCTCTCTAAAAGTTTAAAGGGGAAAAAAAGACACAGGAAAGCAGGACTCAGAATAAGAGCACATAAAGCACCTCCTACTGACAGGGTTCAGAGTGCATCTATGCTTATTCCATATTTCAGTAGTTAAGGCACTCCCCACAGAAGGTGGAAAGTGAACTCATGACACTAGCAGTCTCAGTGGGTGTTGTTGGAGAAAAGGTCATCTCCTATGACCTACGAAAAGTCTGCAGGGAAGAGTTAAAACAGTGAGTGTCTTTTTGACATAAGTGCCAAAGATCTGAAGAAGGCGTACATTCATTACCTGAGGGTTTTGTGTTTCCTGTGAACCAGAATAGGTGGCTTCTCACAGTGCTGGATTTTGTGAAGCCATTTTGGACCTCTAATTCTCTGAGAATTGGAGAAATGAGTGCTGTGACCTGGGGCAATGAGTGTCCTGAAACATCAACACCTGAACAGCTAGGCCCTATACACTGGTGAAGGTTGTGACAACTGGAAAACTAATTTTGTGAATTTAACACTTCACCAATTTTCTAAAGGTTACTTTTCCCAGAAAAGACCTGCAATGCACTGTAAAATTGGGTGGTTATATGATTTTGTTTGCAGCTGTAAATGCTTTGCAGTGCAGAATGATGCTCAGAGTCAGGTGAGGTGGTTGCATACAGCCTGCCAACACTAGTGCATATTAAAGAAGTACCTTTTGGTCTGACTAACCAGTGTTGCATGGGAGATGATAGCACAACTACCCGTGTCAGAACGATGAGTGTAAGCATGATATTTTCCCCACCAGACTACAGATGAGCGGGTTCGGCTGCCAGACATCCGAGCGAGCAGGTGGTACCAGTTCCGTGTGGCAGCTGTGAACGTGCACGGGACGAGAGGCTTCACGGCACCCAGCAAGCACTTCCGATCCTCGAAAGGTTAGTTTTCATTTGCTATGTCTGGTGCTCGCCGTCCGTTCACTCAGATGTGGAGCGCAACCTGATCTGCCTAATTTGTGGCAGAAGTTTTTTAACAGGTAGGTTTTTGGGCAGTTTTGCCACTGGCTTTAGAAATAGTGTGAGATTTGTTTGAAGTTGGCAAAGGAATTAAAGGTTAAAAGTGTCATTATTCTTTTATCAGTAAGGGGTCTCAATGAATAAACCTCCTTTTAAACATTTTCCGCATGGTTGGTATCAAGCAACGTGACCCTGACCATGAAACATGGAGGAACTGGGGTTTCAGTGTGTTATTCCAAGAGGTTTCTCTTATTTTTCTTTTTGGATATGAGAAATATGTTGCTGCCATATGTTTAGCAGAGTATTGAAATACTTTGTCTCCTATATCTAAATAATTTTAGCAGCATTGTTTTGGTGGAACTGTGGGCTCTCTTAATATAACTTTCCCCTTGCTAGCACTAATCGTAAGGGCTTGAGAATAAAAAGAATGTAAATGCTGAGTAGCGTGATTCTGCTTATTAGAAAGTCATGCTGGCCAATCCACAAAGTATTGTAGGAATTTTTGTTGCCATTTCTGGCTTTGCGAGGGTTTGGTTAATAAAATAACTTCGAAAATTATTTCTGTAGCAGTTAATGGTATTTGGAGGATGGGGAAGATGGAAATGGATCTCCCATCCTATGAAGTTGCTGTCATTGTCCCTGGTGTGCCTTTGACCCATGCAAAGCAAAATTTTCCTGGATGGCTCTCATGCATAGCATTGGAGTTAGCACAGGCCAGAAACTATTCCTGACAGACAGACGGTCTGGATGTGGTCACTCTTCCTTAAAGGCAGTCAGTTGAAAATGTGGGCATAGCCAGACAATGCTAGTTGACTTTAGTGCCAAAGAATGAGATCTATCATTCTTCACTCTGCTAACAGAGGTAGTTTCTAATAGAAAGACTTGTCATTGTTTTAGTAGTGCCAGAATCTTTACACTGATATAAAGCATACTTCAAGGAATGCATTTCCTCCTCTTTCTGCAGGTAGAATTATCTTGCAATATGGGCAGTTGCCATCTAGGGGTTCCTGTCCTAGGTTTTCAGTCAGTCCTAGAAAAAGTCTTATTGTAGATGCAGTTATAGAGGCATGCAAGTGCTTTTGCTGTTATGGATGGTTTAATTACTTACTGAATAAGTATACACTAGACTCAATAATTTTTTGGTCCTATAACCACATTTGTGGTAGGAAGGTTGGCTGGCATAGCTATCCCATTACTGCTGTGACCACAAACCTCTTCAAGTATAAAAGAAGTAGTATTTTAAGAATTTATTACACTTAAGGAGCATATCATTTCAGTCACATCAAAAATACAGTTCCTTCAAGCTGTTTTGAGCTTACTGCTAGGACTCAGCAGCAGCAGTAGCTTTTTCTTTGCTTTTCTTCATCAGCAACACTTCAGCAGATACAGCACTGTGTTGCTGAATTAGGTACCAATGTTCTTTTAAACTCAGATCATTGTCAGATGTTTTACTGAGTTTGTAAAGAGTTTCCAACTATTCTGCTTGGAACCACTAAATTGCAATTACATAAAGGTGTATCATGATATCACTGAGGTTTTGGCTTGAACGTGACATTTTCAGGCAGGTTTTGTATTACTTTCCAAAGAATTAATCTCCTACTGAATGTGCTAGCCACAGGAGTATACTCTTCAAAATACCTACATTGATAGTGAATATAAGAAAATCCATGGTGACTCATACTGAACGTCTCTTTTGCCCATTATCTGACCCCAGACAAAAGTGGGTTTTTGGAGAATAGCGCAAGAGCGGGATAAGCACATAGGGATAAATCTTCAGAATAGCCTTCCAGCTGGCAGTGATTTGTGTTTCAGGAGCTTGTGGGTTTGGTATGATTACACGTTAGATACTAGAGTCCTCTTTTTCTGTGGTCTCTGCAGCTACCCCTGAAGCACTTGCTTTCCTTGAGCGCTGCCCACAGCTGGCTGGTGGAGGTGGGGAGCACTTTTAGGACTTTGTGACAAGGACAACAGGAGCCAGTTGTACCTCTGCATTGCTCTTACCAAATAAACCAAAATAACAAGATCTTGATAATGGCAGAAAGTATGTAGCCAGTGGTGTTCAAAAGGCTTCTATAACCCTCAAAATAACACTTTTCAAATCTAAACTCCAGCCCTTGGCAGAGAATTGTGAATTGCCAGACAAACAGCAAGGAGTTCAGTTAGCTATCAGCTTCGTAGCCAAAGTCATCCTATTCTGGCAGCTCATTTGACTACTTTAGACACTTTGGTATTGTCAGTGGTTATTATAAAGATACCACGTTCACCAGATGAAACGTGTAGAAGCGCCAAGTGACACAGATGAAGATGCTGCTAGGTGGTGACTGTAGAATGGTACTGGGGTGCCTCGATCAGTATCTCTTAGCCTCCATGTCCCCAGTAGGCATTCATAGTGGTAACAGTTATAGTGTCATATAGGCATTTTGGCTCCTTTGGGGCTCAGCGGGAAGCAGCGGCCCCTGCCTGGCAGAGAGGCAAGAAGCTGCTGCTCAGATGAGCCTAGTTTTTTGAGAGCCAGCATCTACTGGCCCCTGCTGAGCTCCTACATGCACATTTAACCTCCGGTTTGGAAAAGGAAAGCGGACTTTGGCACATCACCTTTGGAAGGTTGCTGACTGATTGTGCTACATTTATGTGAAGTGTGGACAGAAATTCACATTAGTTCTTGTACTGTTTCAATTCACCCTGTTGTGCTGAGACCAAGAGAAGATGACTATCTTTGTCAGACTTAACAGAAGTTTTCTTCAAAAAGAAACCCTTTGATCAGGAAACATGACAGCAATTCCTGAGACAGTTTCTCACACAAGATGCTGAACTTTTACCAATAGCTCATAAGTTATAATGAATAGCAAATTATTTGGGTTTATTTTTTTTTTAAAGGAGGACAAACATGATATATAATCTGAAACTAGGGAGGAGTGTGGCACCACAAAGTCTCTGTCACTAAATATTTTAAGCTGTTAAAAAGGACATTCAGAACATTGCTGCAGTTAATTATTTGGAGAGAAGAATTTTGTCTGGTTACCACAATACTGTTTTATACTATTTTTTGTTTTTTGCAAATGCGAAAAATGTGATCTCTAAGGAGACAGGGCAAAGTAAGGTTTTGTTTTCTTCACAATAATGTTAAGTCTTCTGAGGTATATAATTTCCATGAACTTTTCTATCACTAAATAAAGCTCCTTATTATCCAAATTAGTTTAATTTCCTGGTCATGAAAAAGACAAAACCAGGAAAACAAAAGTATTTCATCAGGCATTCTAGCTTACCATTCTTCATCTAATTGTGTTTTGAGGTTTTATCTACTGCAGCTTTTGATACTCTTATACTGTAAATATTTGAGGTGAAGGTTTATTAGCTGTTTTACACTGCCTCATGTGTTCATTTGTGGCATTAACCTGTAAATAATAAATAATCAAAGTGACATAGCTGAGATAATTTATTAAATATTCAGAGCTTAAGCAGAGATTTTTTTAATGCTGCTCATTTCTTTTTTATAAAGGTAGTGAAGGGTTTGTATGTCATGTCCTTTCACAGGGAAGGAAGCAATGCTTCATTTTGCCAAAATGTTATTCCAAAGTTACAAGAAACACTCATAGACTATGCCTATCTGTTTGGAGCGGAGTGGCTAGAAGACGGAGTGAATACTGCACCTAGGAGAGTGGGTTCTTTCCTAGAAGTAGGACTCTGCACATGGGTTTTCAGATTGACACTGTCGGCTGAAATTGATCAAAACTTTCTGATATTTTGACAGTGATTTCCACTTTTCCGGGTTTTTTAATTGTGTGTGCTTTCTTTTTCATCTTCAACTGAGTGGCAACAATTTGCAATGACAGCAATAAATAAAGCTAACAGAATGCCTGGCAGAACATTTTTGATCCCCAAAGGTACAAATATGTTTCTCTTCATATTTTGACTGGCTCTCTCCAAGCTGCTTCATTTTCTCTGGAAGCAGGAGAGAACCGTTCCTGCAGTCCATAAAGAAGTCTCCTTAGATGAAAAGGTTCCTGTGCTTTTCTCCAATTAAGCAGGCATAGGATAGCCTAACCCAACTGGTCAGAAGCTGCTTGGCACTAGTAATAAAACTTCTAATTTGTTGCATTTGGGTGTGCAACAAATGCAACAATGAAAATGCAGAAAATGCATTTTCTAGCATTTTATGATTTATGATGAGAATGAACTCTTAGTAACAGAGGCTGCAGTCAGCTAGAGGGATCAGTGCTAGGTATTTCCATATCATACATTATCTTGCTGGTCTGTAGTTAGGTACTGAGTGATTTTCTGAGACAAAAAGAGGCTAGAAGATGAACTCAATGAGCCCAAACCAGCCGATCCTTCTACCTCTGCTGAAGGTTTTTATCTTCATCATGAAGGCAGTTGCTAGCATACACAGGATAAATTGTCAAGCAAAAGGAAGCAGACAACATTGTTTTCACAGCACATAAGTACCACGCTGGATGTGATTTCATGCATACATTACAGAGTGTTAGTAAAACCAGAACAGACACCCACTCCCAGCAATAAAATTCTTTCTGTTGCTCCTCTGGGACAAATGATTTTTTTATACTGTTGCACAGCTGGTTTATGTGTGCCATTTCCATTGGGCAAAGCCAGTTCTCCCGCTTATGCCTTGGAACTGTTTAATGGTTGGAAACTTGTCTGTAGAGCAGCTTCAGCAGATTTTTAGAGTTGAAAGGTCTAATGTTTAAAAGATAGCAATGGGAGATCCATTTTAAGTCAGAAAAAAAAGCTCTGTAAGAAAGGGTTTAAAATAGAGTCAAACTTACTATCACTTTTACAGCTCAGATTTAGAATTCCGGTTCCAATGTCATTATTTTCTTCTCTTCTATATTCCAAATCATTTACTGTTTTCGTTACAGTTGCCACATTTAGAGCCAAAGTGGATGCATTGCAGCAATGTGTGATGTGATTCTTGTGTATAGCTTGCCCATGCTGTTTTAAGGTTGCAAAGTGCTTCCAGATCCTATTGATTGAGAGAATTTTGTAAAATATAAATTATCTATCACTATGTTTACAGATATGAGTGTGGGAGGATGTGCATTTTGAAATGGTGATGATGTGAGGGTTTTCTTTTTTTCTTTTATTTGCAGCAAGGCATCCTCCTGTTTGGGGACTGGAGACAGTTTTGCTTGTGATGGCTGAGTAGCCACAAGAATTTAAGTCCTTTGGGTATATTCAAGCCAGATACAATCCAGACAAATGCAGTACTTACTCCATGTGCTGGAACAGCAGCTTCAGCCTTGACCTAATGAAGCTATCATTTCTAGCAGTGAGAAGTGATTTATTTGTCAGGCTGCTGAGACCAGAATTTTTTCGAATTTGAGGACAGCTGTCTGTGCCAAATTCTAGTATATATATAATAACTTTTATTCTATTTGAGTTGTAGTATAAACTGCAAAGAAAAAGCTGCAGCTAGCATCACTTTTTCTGCAAGCCAAAGACTTTGATTTAACACTCAGATAAATTCATGTATATAAAATTTCAGAACTTTAAATTTGAAAAACTGGCAGTAGCTTCCATTCCAGTAATTTAATGTTCATGTATCTGAATTATACATGTGGGCAGTCAGTCAAAGTGATCACAGATATGTGAAGAATAACAGTAGACTGGCTGTTAGCTTCGTGGTCAGCAGAATGCCAGTTTAGCTTCATAGTCGGGTTAACAAACACCTTATGTATGTAAGACTTATAATCCAGTATCGCTTATCAGACCTTGAAGTACTTCAGCACGAGTTCTATACTGCTTTTAATGTCTGTATAGACATAAGCAGAACAGAGCACCTTGCAGAAGCATGACTTTTCCATTCAATAATGCAATAGTGAAGGCTTAAAAAAAGTCAGCAAAAACAAGTGATCTGTTATCTGGTAACTGGCAGGCATGTATTATGGAGGAGCATGCTCTTACACTTAACAGGTTTTTGGCTTTCTGGTTTTTTTTTGGGGGTGTGTGAAAGGGTGGCTTTGGAGAGGTCTGGATTTTTGGCCTTCTATGTGTTTCATTGGGTTTTTGAGGGTGGGGTTTGGGTCATTTGGGTTTGTTTCCTGTTAATAGCAGAGATCACAAATCTTACCTTGCTGCTATTCCTTCTCACCTGTTTGTTTTGGTGGTGAAACTCAGTCCTTTCAGATGAAAGAAAAGATTAATATTCTTGAGTTTTTTAGCTTACAAAATTATATTTCTGCCAGTTTTAATAGTGATGAGTGTCACAGAAAGATATAGAAATAGATGAATAAATTGTATATTGGTATTGAAATACTTAATATGGAATGGATCCTCAGCTGGTATAAAACACTCACTAAGTGGCTTCATATTTCAGGTAATACACCTCAAAGCCAAGAAATATTTTATGGTTTTGTCTCTACAATCAGACAGGGTTTTTTCAGATGATTAAGTGCAAAACTGTAATAAGTTAAGTTTTGTTCATCTTTGATGTCTTAAGTCCTTCTAATCTATTATGTTCTCCAGCTAAGTCTCCTAGTTTTAAAAAAGCTCTTCTGGAAAATGTGGCACTTTCAAATGTGTTGACTCTTCGTGTCTGTCAACTGCAGATCTTCTTTTCTGTCTTCTACTGCTACCACCACCACTCTTCCTCCTGTTCAAAGGCATTTTTGTGGATGACATTTGTGAGGCTTGCAAAAGAGAGACTTTGAAGAAAGGGGACCCTCAGGAAAATGTTTCTGCTATTGCTGTATTATTTCTCATGTATATTCCTCTTACGAGGATGTTCTGTCTTTCCTTAACTGTAATTACCCAATGGTTTTTAATACAATGTTTATATTCTCCCATAGCAAAGGAGAGACACTACTAGACTTTCTTTTAAATATGGATCAGCATTTTGTCTGCTGACTGGACTATTTCTAGTGAACACAGAAGAAATGCTACTGATAAAGTACTGTTTTCAATAAACTGTGCAGTTATCAAAAGTGCAGCGTGAAATGCCGGTGCTGTAGAAGTCAGAAGAAATGATCTATTGGTTTCAGTACGCACACAGTTCTTTCTCAATGTTTTCTTCTTCTGCTTATGTTGCTGAGAAAAACAGGGGTGTTTGAAGTTACCTTAAAAAAGAAATAATCCTGTGATTCTGAGACATATAAAAGCTCTGTTCTGGTCAATTGCTAACTTTATACAAGGAAAATTACATGCTGTCTTGCATTCTTATAGGGACAGAAACATTTGAAAAGGAAGAATGTAAATTTGGTCATTTGCTTTTAGATCTAGGAGAAACTGGTGAACAGAACTTCCAAATATTTTTAATCATGTAAGACACTTTTTTCCAGAAAAGCTATTTCATTTAACTTTTAGATTTTTTAAATGACTCTCTTTTTAATGAGTCTTTTATAGATGCAGAATAAAGACAAACATGTTTTATGGTTAGAATTGGTTTTGCTTATATCTGACCATTTGTGAAGACATATTCTCTCAAACACTTTAATTCTATCACATATGTTATGTATACATAATACATGATGCATAGTACTTCTGGGAGATAACCTGAATAATTCACCTACAGTAATATGATCATGTTGCACTTCAGGTTATAAATGTTTTATTGCCATAATACATTGCCATATAACATGAAAAAAAACCCTAACATTTTAACTCAGTGAAGATGAATACTTAATAAAGATTTTGGATTTATAAGTAATGATTCTGATTATATTTATTGTACTTAAATTTCACTTTATATCTACTTATTTTATTAAATGATAGAAGTAAATGAAAACTTGTGTTACAGAACAGTACAAACCATTTAACTAAATTAATCTCTTAAATATATCCCCTCCAATATAAATAACTTTGTATACTTTAAGATGGAGTTGTTGGCTACTTCACAGGTAAGGAAGTAAGTGTAAGAACAGTGATTCTCCAAAGACCCAAAAAAAACAAAGGGAACTGACTGGAAAGCTGATTTAAAAAAGAAGTGAGAAGAAATAAGGAATTCCTATTATTTTGAAAATTAAGTTAAATTTGCAGAATTCTTAAACTCACATATGCTTTGTAACTTTTATGGCCAAAAGTTGGGTTGAATTATATGTGTGAGGAAACAGGGGCATCCATTACTATTTAACTAAAATGGCATGTGTGAGAAAACAGGAGCATCCATTGTTATTTAACCAAGAGTCCTGTTAAATAACAGGAATAAGCCATTATTTCACATCTGCTGATCTTTAAAAAGGAAATGCTGTCCTTATTAATTCTGAATGTGTCAATTTCAATGAACTAAACGATGGAATTTTTCAGTGAGCTCGTTTGTCTTAGGGATTATCTGATGAATTTAGTATGTCTGGAAAGTTTATTTAACAGCTCATTTACCATTATAAAAAGATGCAGGTGAACCATGCAGTAAATGAATGCCTGGTGTCCCCTCTGCACACCTCCAGTTTTATTTCTGGCGAATAAGTGGTGATTTATTTGGCTAAAAAGCTATATGAAAATGCTTTTTTATGAGATTATTTTTTCTTGGCTACAGTTTCATAACGTGCCTTAATTACTTACGTGCCTTTATTCTGCCTGATATACTTTTTTTTTTTGAGTCACACTGTTTACTTTTACTTAAATTTTGGGTTTACAGTTTCCTTATATTTTGTCACCACAGCCATTTAAAAAAAAGTAGGATTAAAAAGTAGAAGTAAATAGCAATTTGGATTTTAGAAGCTCAGTTGCAAGATTTCCATTGATTCCCATTAATCAGGGCCAGGGTATTATATAGTAGGCCCACAAAGAGGACCTAACATTCAGTGTTGGGAAAGGTTCAATATTGGAACCCCTGACTGTCGGGTGTCCTTCATGACTCTAGGGTCAGCACAGAGACAACTAGAGGAATAATATTTCAGTTGATGTTGACCAGAAATTAAGCCAGAATATGGAATTAAGTCACAGGCGTAGCTAATTGTTTTTTATTGTTCTGAAAAGCCCTGTAGACTTCTATAACATCATAATATATCATTACATCTAAATTATATTTATTCTAAGGAAGTGTTTATGTCTATGGTGGTGAATATCAATACTAGAGTTTTGAAAGATTCAACATGTAGAAACATAATGTTATCACCTGAGAATTACCTGGCAACACTAAAAAAATATTCGGTGTTTCCACCATACAATACTGTGATCACTTGTAGAACATGAATGTTTTACACTCACTATGTATTTAAAGTAGTTAATGACAGAAGTAAAACTGATTGTGTAGTATGTTTTTATAAAGCTTCATAATATTTGTGAACTATATTGCTCACAAATTTGTGAACATTATTCTGAACACAGAATAATGACAAAACTAGATGCTAACCCACAATTTTTATTTCAGTAGAGCTTGAATTTCTAGAACTTATAAGAAGCCAAATCACTTACGGGAAATTTTTGCCTGAATTTTCTTCCGTGTATTGAGAATATTTAATCCAGCTCATGTACGCCTGGTAAGATGAAGATGACCTTTACTTTATTGAACATGATCTTTACGTTAGAATCTTTTTGTTTTTTTTTTAAATTCCAGATCCGTCTGCTCCACCAGCTCCATCTAACATCAGAATTGCCAATATCAGTGCAAACAATGATGGGAGTGTAAATGTAATGATTACCTGGGATCTTCCAGAAGAGCCTGATATCCCAGTGCACCACTACAAAGTCTTCTGGAGCTGGACATATAGCAAATATGTAATCCCAGCTAAAAAAAAGAGAAGAAAGATTACCGATGGGGTAAGAAAGAAAACAGTAAATGGGACAGAAATATGGCTTATTTCTGGCACAAAATAGAGTGTAAGTAGAAAATACATGATTGATCGCAATGATTTCAGCAGCTGGTATAGTAGTGGTCTTAATTTTTAGTATCACCAACCCCATAGACGATTTTGATCTCTCAGTCTCTATCTTTCACTGAACTCAGGGAGACAAGTAGAATTCTGTCTTAAAATGCAGATAAATACTATAAGATTTTGCAGGAGAGATGAATAGAAAGTTAAATACTGTTTGTTGTCTAAATTCAGGCTTATTTTATTACTGCTTCTTAAAGATACAGCATTTGTTTTATTTGAAAAGTCCAACATCATCTGTCACATTGTTCTCTCACTATGCAAATACAACTTGTGATGCTATCATAAAGAAGAACCGTTAAATAATCAGTATAAGCCCAAGGAAAAAACAAACCCAAAACTTTAAATAAGCTGCTGTACCAAAGAACTGACGTATTTCCATAGCAGTAAGTTCCTCTGAGTTTCTTGAATGATGTATCAAATATACTTTACTGGAAAACTCTCTATTGTGATATCCTTAAGGATATGGCATAATATTTTAAAGTAGTTAATAGAAATGGAAATGAGTTACAGATAACAGGCTGAACTTAATTCTCCGTGCTCTTAATAAATGCATTGTAAGAATTTGGTCCCATGTCTACGTTAACTGTATTTTGGCTCTGGCTGCCCACTTGCTCTGTGATGAATGACAGCTGGAGGGTTATAGTTGTCTCTCTGCCCCTCAGTCACCAAACCTTGAGAGAAATAAAGCCAATGAAGGCTGTGTGCTGAGTTCATCTACAGCAGATTGGACACAGCAGAGGCACCACCATGGGAGCATGCTGGACCCATCTCTTCTCATGGGACCTGATGGGTGACCAACGTCTGAAGGCTACTGACTCAGAGTCACCACCTCTGTGCTGGGCAGGCAGGAAAAGGAAATTTTCCCACAAATGTAGACAATATGGGGTAATTTCACGTGCTGAGATAACTTGGTTATTGGTTGCTACTTCATTTAAATACTTTTTTTTTTTTTTTAACTTTAAAAAAAAAAACTAAATATGCATAGAAAAGTTAATTCTTTCTTGTACTTTTAAAAAATCACTTTGGCAAGGTAGGAGTAGGGTTGGACTGTGCTAGGTAGAAAAGTTTGTGTTTCTCAGGAAAGCTCCCATTGGCTAGAGATCTTCATGGCAGAGGCTACAGCCTAAAGATACAGGGGAGCTTTCTGTCCATAAGCTGATACATCACAAAACCCAGAGAATTTCAAAATTGAACTGGGTCCTTAATGTTGTGTTGGCACTTTATGTAGGGTATATCCTATGTATAAATATATTAAAACAGATCTAATATACATTACAGTAATTTGGACCAAGTTCTGACCTTGAATATAGGGAAATCCAGAAGAGCCAAGGCATATTTTAGAGAAAAGGCAGGCTCTTAGATTATCTCCTGTATTACTCCTGGCTCAATGTACTTCTTCTTCTGCAGCATGTCATGAAACTCTACGGCAATGCCAGTGAGAGTCAGACTTCCCCCACAAGACACTCCTGAGCCTATTGCTAATCAATGGTCCTTTGAATATTATAGCAACTCTTCTATCTAAAAATTGAAACTGCAGAAAAATGTGAAAAAAGTAAATTAAAGGTGGAAAAAATCTTATTTTTTAAAGATCATTGCAGATTTTTTTTTTACCTGTTTTTTACCTTTAGGTGTAGTCTAGTTCAATTAATTTTATAGCGATTTCCATATGAAATCATTCCAGGTAGACATTCAAATAATTTGAGTACAATATTAACACTGTTAATTGAGTGTTATACTTAATGTTATAAATATCTCAGCACAAAACAAAGAAAGGTAATTGATATGAAATGCTTTTGACAATCCCTGAAGTGTTAAATATGGCAGTACGTGGTTTAGCTTTTCACTCTGGATTGACTGTCAGACTTCAGAGGCACAAAGTATTCTAATGAAAACATGGAGTAATGTCTTCTGTCTGAGACAGGGGCTAGAAGGACATTTTTATAAATGCATTAAAAAAAATTTAGAAGAGTAAGAATGCTGAGAACCTTTGGCTCTTCTTTGCAGTATCATGGGACTTGCCTTAATTTATGGGTTATTGACCAGAGAATGATAACCCTACTCTAGTGTTTTCAAATTTAAGAAATTTCCGTGACAATGAAAACTGTATTTTTTCTGTTTTCCATTCTGTAGTGGAAAAGTGTTATTACCAATGAGGGGGTATTTTTGATTGTGGGTTTTGAGTTGATTTTTCTCATTTTTGTTTTCAGCAGTTGAAACAAATAGAAAATATTGACAAATGTGCTGAATGTTGGATTTTAGCTGTCTTCAGACTGACTGTCTCTAGAAAAAACTTTTCAATTGTGTTGCTAACACAGAAATTTGGGAATAAAAGTTTAAATTTCTTTAGCTAAAATAATTTTGGCATAAGAAAAAAACTTGTTTTATGTAAAAAAAAACTCTTTAGTTTTGACCGAAATGACAGGTGTCTGTATTTCCCAAAATTATGTGAACATCAAGAAGGTTAGTATTTTTAAAATGACACAGAAAACCAGAGTCAAATAAAATGTACTTTTTAGAAAAAGGGAATTTTGCTCAGTTGAAATTTATACGTGAGTTTTCTTTTCTGATTTCCAAAGAGTAGTGTGACTAAGATAACAGGCCTGCTTTTAATAAGGGTCTATGTTTCAGTAATACTATAACTACTTTGTATATTTATTCTCCTCTATTATAGGCCCAAAATTATGTGGTCTTGGAGGGACTCCAACCCAACAGCAACTACAATGTAGAACTGCAGGCAGTAACACGTTGGGGTCAGATACGCCTAAAAAGTGCTAAGGTTTCTCTCCATTTTAGCACAACTCAGGACACCAGGAATAATAGTGAGTAATTCTGTTCAAACACCTGAATACTTTATCTCTTCTTTATCTGGAATTTGAATGTTTTATATAATGATTTCTCAAATTAAAAAAAAAAAAAAAATTCTTAAAGCTTTCTGTTTCATATCATAGTGATCCCGTCTCAATGAAGTTGAGTAACCTTTTAATGTTAAATTTCTTATCTAAAAATTGGTGACAGTTTGTGATTAATTCTTTATCTTACTCACCTGAAATAAACAAATGCAAGAAAAATGGCAGCATTTGTATGACTGCGGTGTTAATATTTTTTAAATAAAATACAGGTATAAATACTTACTGTATTTTTCAGTGGCTGGGATAGAACAGTGTCTGTGTCTTTGTCTCAACTGGACGGTTTTAGCTTGCAATGCTTTTCAAAATCCTGACCATTCTGAGTAGCCCATTAATTCAAATTCTTCATCCACACAAATGTGTATCTACTATAAACTAATATAAAACATCAGCTCGTTGTTAAGGAGTCTAAAATGTTCCATGCCTGATAAGCAATGAATTTTCAAGATATTATTGCACACATAGGACCCACATTCAAATTAGAATCTTGAGATCTTTAGATGTCAGGTGATTTCTTGTTAAGATCTTCTTTAAACCTCACATGCTAAGTAATATAATTGAAAAGCATATCTGAATCCAAAAGTAAACCCTGATTCTTAGTCTTAGTTAAATGCTATTTGTATAATTACAATGCAATACCAAGTTACTGCCCCAGCTGCTGATGTGTCTACTTAACAAATGCAGCAAAATTCTGATAATAAGATGTTAAAGACTATAATTTTATATATCCTATCCTGACTCCATTTCATTTTCCATCCATTCCCATTCTTTTTCTTAAAGTACGCTCAAAGTTTAAACTTTACTTTTCACTATTTTCATAACATAACTGTAATTACTCTCACCCTAACTAATAAATTGCTATTGTTGCTGGACCCTCCTGCAAGCATATTCAGTTTGGATATACGTAAAATATTTTAAAGTAGTTGCTAGCTATGACAGACCTTCATATCTACAGTTGCTTCCCATTTTAACGTACCAAGATGACAAAATAGACCTAAAGATCCTTCTTTTTCCCATATTAAGCTCATTTTTACTACCTTTTTGGTCCATTTTAAGAGACAGCAGAGGGCCAGGTTTTCTGCTCTTCAATACACTGAGTCTTTGCTTGAAATCCATACCAAAATGTAAGCTTGAATCTCCACAGTGTGTATATGAGGCAAGTCTGGGTTAAATCCTCAGTGAAGCCCAATGTAAGTGAATATAAATTCTGCCCTTTCCATACTGGCTTTCCTAGATTGTACCTGTGCTTTCTGTCGTCTCCTGGAAAAGTGACCTAATTTTCAGGATTGTGCATGATATCAAAAGTTTCTTTGAGCTACCTCATTTAGTTTTCCTTTCTTTTCTGTATGTGCACAGGAGATGTAATAGAAGAAAAACTACAGTGGGAACTGTATACTTGTATACTCAGACACTGAGCTCCACTAGAAGTGTATAGTTGGTGTTTATGAGAGATGTTCTCATTTTGCTGAGTATTTTCCTAAGAATTTTTTCTTGGGTTTGCTTCTTTTTTTTTTTTTTCTTTCTTTCTTTCTGCAAAACACATTTTCCTAGATAAACAAGCAAAAATTTCCTTTTTTTTTTGGTTTTTTTTTTTTTTAACATCTCCCAACCACCCCACTCCCACTCTTTTTGTCTCTTGTGGTTAGAAGATTGATAACAAATATGTAACTGAGTTGAGTTTACATCAGGTCACAGGAGAAGACTGAGGCCTGGATTTCCCCTGAATCTGATGGTGAGATGTGTCCTGGTAACTGGGATGAAGTTCTAGGTGTCATTATACATAACTAGCCAAAGTGACATTGAGCCAGCTGTTGAATTTCTTTCTCTTATTTCACTAAGAAAATAGCTTTATAAACTTTCCCCTCTTGGGAGCAAGGATAATGAATCAACTGATGTTTTTCAGGCTTTATTGCTAGTCCTGACATTAGGTCAGATCATCATCTTCTTTAAACATGAGAGTAAATAAAGACTTTTTCTATAACAAAACCCTTCTAAACTGAAGCTGAGTAATCGAGATTGGACTACGTCATTTTTGGTACCATTCTATACTTACTGTGAGAAACCCTTTTGCTGGTAGTGCTGTATCAACTCTCCATGGTCTCACTAATGGTCTGTCTCTCATGGTCTATATCACCAATGGGTCTCTGTAAGGAGAAGATGATTTTTGTTTCACTTTTCTCTCTCCAAAACATTGTGTTTTTCAGAATCTGATGCAGATCACATCTGATTTATTACTTACAAGTCCTCTACCAAATGAAGTTCCTTTACCCTATACCTCACGTGTGACTTTGGTGATTTCATCATTTTCTGTCCACTCCAGTGGCACCTCTTTCCTGTCATCATCACAGCAAGATTTAAATTCCATCCACAATTTTGCTTGGATAATCTGCCATCTTGTTGATAGTTTTGTTTCATAAAACAGTCCATCAGTGGTTTCTGTGAAAGTCTCCTATCTATTAATGTCTAATTAGTATAGACTTTCTTATGCCTTGTGCTTTATTTCACTTTACTGTGGTGACCTTTTTAGACTAAAAGGATCATTAATTGTTGTATTGTTTTTTAAACCAGAGTAATACTATACTAGGAGCAATATTTTTGTTTTCTCATATACTTCAAGTATTTGACTGTTATATTCAAGTTATGAACATCCATTTAGTTAATGAGCAGGATTTTCTTTTTAACTGCAAATCAGCACCTGCGAGAACTAAAACACGTTATTTGTTTTCCAGTAGAATACTTCAATAATAAGCTTATAGACAAATCTTTGTGTTGAAGCCACGAAGTAAAGGATTCAAGATTCTTTGAGCATAAACCACTGATATCACACATTTCTGTGGATAGAGCACTCTGCTGAGATGTATATTTGGACTTTTTTGGACATTTAAAAAAAAAATGGCTAAATTATAGCTTACATAGAAAAGACAATAAAAACTACTCCTGGAGGAGATGCAAATTCATCTTCTGAATCTTACTGAAGTTCATTAGGTACAGAGCCAGTCCTGCGTGAGGTACTTTTGAGAGTACTCAGAAGCAGATGGAAACATATGAAAAAGAAAAAAATATTGCCTGAAATGTTATCTAGGACATGACATTCACTCCTTCTCTTTGTCTGGGGACTTCCATGGCCTCTGGGAAGTAACCAGATGCAACATGCCAATTTTGCTGAAGTCCTACTGTCACTTACTCAGCTCTCTGTGGAATTAAGCTCTGGTTTTTTAGGTGTCTGTTCCTACTGTCAGAGTAGAGAGTAGTCCATAACCCGCTGAAGTAATTTAGTCCTACAGACCTCTGTGAGCTTTGACCCTGGCCCTCTGGCATTATATTTCCCCACACTCAGAAACGCATTGCCTCACTATATTTGTATGCTTCACTTCTGGGAAATGCAGCAAGACTCTCTCTCTTGATCTTTATATAGAAATATTCTAAATTGGTGTCCTGATTTTTCTGGAAGTGGAGCACACGGAGAGCAGCAAAGCAGGGATTTAGTAAAATTAAAATACTTTAAGTTGAATTATACCTAAAAGATTTATGTTTGTACTTCTCTCTATCACTTCTTGATTTCCTTTTAGGTAGTGTAAACATACAGTTACCTTGAGAAAGAATTTGCTTAAGTTTGGTTTTACTTTAATGTAAAACAAGCAAAGAAAATGTAAAGTTGTCTCAGATTAAGCAAAAGATCGAAAAAGTAAATTTGTCCAAAAAGCAAGTGGGTTTCAGCTGAAGCTACATGTAGGGCACAATGTTCAAGTTTACACGTTACTCGTGGTAATTATTGAAGCCTGTGTCTTTCCCTCTTTCTCTCAAGTATGTAGTTAGTAATTTGCCACTTTCTAATTATTAGAATCTTTACTTTTCATTTAGGTTTATTACTGCATTAAACACAGCTTTTTTTGTTAATCTGATGCAGATACTGTCCTCTTAATCAGAACTGATATATTTGCAAATGCACAATGTAAATGCACTTTGAATCAGCATTGCTGCCTTTTTAACTGAAAATGTCTAGAAATGCTGTCAACCCTGCTAAATGTTGATGAACTGTTGCCAAATGAAATACTTGATGAAGGACATCCCGTTACCGTTGCTTGTCAGAAGCTAGGCACATAACACCGGAGGAATTGCTCAAAGTTAATTCTGCTCTTACAATGTTTTCCTAAGCGTTCACTGTTCACTGTTGGAAACAGGAAAGTGGGCAAGAAAGATCTTTAATCTGACCAGAGTGTTCTTACATAGCATGCCAAAGGACTATATTTACTTTGATGTAATAACCACATGTGGCACTCTGTGGGTTACACTCAATGCCATCCTTGGGTTTTGTGTATATTCAACCACTGCACAAATGTAAAGACCATGAATGATAATACAGAACTGCTAGATACTATGGCTGTTTAAAAAGTCATTGTGTTAACATTTCTTGTTCTTGGGGATATAAATACACTCCCTTTCCTTATGATTATTTTGGAAATTTACAGAGCATTTTCATATTAAAGTATGTTTACCTTTTTCTCTCTCTATCCAAAATATTTTTTTGACTGAATTTCAAAAAAAATATATGCTTTTCAACCATTGTGGACAATTTGTTCTTTATATTATTTTCATTTAGGTAAGATACTGAAATAAGGTAATTTGGATTAAAGATAGTGTTATTTTCTGAATTTCAGCACCATTAGCATAGTCATTATATGGCACCGTACTAAAATAAATAATTCCTGATTGTTCTGTGTATTGCAGAGGAACAGACATCTTCTGCTGGGAAACCCCAGAAAGGACTGGTAGATCCTTACCCAACATTTCAAAGAAGAAAAACCACTCGTTTTCTTAAAATTGGAACTCCTTTCTATCAGGACAATCAACTTCAGGTCAAAGTCTACTGGAAGAAGACGGGTTTGTCAAATTTTTATTTTACTATTTTTTCTAAGGAGGTACTCTCATCAACTGCCTCAGAGTTCCAGGACATTGATATAATATAATGAACCTTCTACAGTCATTCAGAATTAAATCCTACACCTATCCTTCCTTCCCTTCACCTTCACATTAGAGTGGAACATTGCCTCTCTTTTTTGTGTTATGGATGTATAAATGTCTGGCAGAGGGAAATTATGTGAATCAGCTATCCAAAAATTGCAGTCAGTAATGTTGGGACACTGAATTTTACCAGAGCTGAGATAATTTTTAGTTCAGTGGAAATTGCTTCTGTAAAGTTTTAAATAGGCAAGCAGAATTTGGCCTTACGTTCTACAGAGCTTTTATGGCTATGAATGTTGTCTCCCTGGAGTGTGGTTGGAGGGTCGGATCTCAAGCTCATACAGTTCCCAAGTGGATTTTCTGCTGATGCCACTGCAGTATCACTTGTTGGACTTTGTCAGTTGAGAAATTAGTCAGGAAATTAATGTATATGGAAATCATGCAGTGGTGTCACAAAAACTAAACTGTAGTTTGAACTACAAAATTTAGAGTTATACTGGCTCATATTAACGCCACAGTAGGCTTTATGCAAAACTTTATCAGCCACCTTCAATTAGAACAGGATGAGAAGTTGGCCACAACCACTGGAAAAATCTTTAAGTTGGTTTTCCACGAGGCTGCATGCACACTTCTCATTTTCAGAAAAATATATCAGCAATTTTAAGTTTAAATCGTCCAGTCTGAAGGAAAATAACATAAATTATAAATTTTCAAACACAGAAATCAAAAAAAGGATTTCCTTTCCTGCCCTCTAGGAGCGTATTGATTGTTACACATTGCTCCAGCTTAGCCATAACAGGTTCATATGCTGTTATTTGAGAATGTGCTAACACTGTTAGTGTTTTAACTTGGAGCAATCTACATGTGTAGCAGTAGCACGTGTATAAAATCCATTCAATTTTTTTGTTTGAAATAAAGGGCTACCTTTTCTTTTGGAATTTTTCAAATAAATTTAGAAATATTTAAGTTCTTTTGGCTTTAGGTGTATGCAGCACCACCCTGAATGAGGAAAGGCTGTATAACCATTCAGTTATGCATAACATGTCACAGTGGATGGTGTGGATTGTGAGAGGTAACTTTTGCTTCTAAAAAAGCGCCTGCCTGTTTGAATGGTTACCTTTCTAGCCCTGCTATATCAAATACTTGCAAATCAAATGCTTATTTGTCTCTAAAATCTGCAAGCTTTGATTCAACCTGACTACATAAACATTTTAAAAGTTTGTCTCTATCTTGGCTATGCTAGTTTTCTTTCCTCTAGCTTTCCCCATTATATTTTATTTTTGCCTAACTTAATGGAAATCCTGGATAATTTAAACTTTTAATAAAAGTTGAGGCATTTTCAATTGTGAATACTAAGATTACCTAACAATATGACTTTGGTTATCCGAAGCATGATTTGTGTTTTCTGAGCTTGAGACTTAAGCTTTAGCTTTCAGGAAGTGAGATGTCAACTCATTGGCCAAGCTCCTTTTACAGTCAAAAAAGAAAAGCAGGTGACTTCTGAAGCAATTCATCACACGCAGCAGCTGAATCATTCTCTGGGGATGCCTCTCTTCCTTACTGAGTACAGAAGGGAGCCTAGGCAACTCATTTGTAGAAAGCTTAGAGATGCCTAACATCTCTCTGTGAGCTGAGGTTCAATTCTGAGCAGTTTGAGCTGAATAAAATGAGGACCAGATTGAAAGACGAAGAGACTATGATGTCTTCCACAGGTTGTGGCTGGGTTGTGCAACTCACAGTCTTCAGGCAAGATTCAGCCCAGTGGAATAATTGATTCAATTGCAGCCCTTTTTTTGCCAGCCTGTTTCCAGAAAAAAAGATTATGTGCCCTATGAACAAAATGCCAGCACCCCTAGTGAAATTCGCCTTCAAGTAGTTTTCGAAATTCACTTTTATAATTAACGGAGGAAAAATAATGACCAGACAGCAATATTTATCTTCTTCCAAGATAGATATCTTGAACTAGGTGTTCTCTAATTGTAATGGTAACTTAGATATTGAGTTTATAAGTAGCTGTTACACTGTGGTTACTTAAATGTTGACATTTAATCTGGAGCTGAAACCCACACAATGTTACGTACCTGGACGTGATATTTGTAGTAAAAGTTATAAATGCCTATAAAAAGAAATAAGGTAGTCAGCGTTCTCATAGTGGCTGAGACAAGAGGTAATTAAGATTAAATGAAGTCAGGGAATATTTTATAGCTTGGAAATAGCAGTGTTTGGAAGTGGTGTAATCTCCACAATTGGAGATCTTCAAAGACAAATATGTCACAGATCCATTAGAAATTAACATGAATTTACATACTGTCACCTTGTGCTAGGGATGGACCAGTTGAGTTCCTGACTTGCTGACTGTACAGCCGACTTATCTTGTGTGAATCTGTGTGCATCCAGTTATAGAAGGGGGACACCCAGAGGTCCGTTTTGGTGATGTGGTGGGAGCAAGCTCTGTCACATGCACTAGGGTGTTTAGGTATATGCCCCAGCCATGCAGTGGAAGTTGACTTCATTTTTCTCACAGAAGAAACAGTGATAGCAAAGGTGTATGAAGAGGGGCAGAATATGGCAGTTTGTCACACTTGCTTTTTTCTTTTCTTTTTTAAAAAGAAAATATCTATGTTCTGAGTGACAGCATATGCAGTAACTCGGCAAGAGCCATTGCCTCGTGTGGAACTGAAATATAGCCGGTTGCCTACTCCCGAGAAGCTAGCAGCTTCTATAAGCTCTTACAGGAGTTTGGAGGTTGTGTAGTACATGGATGAGGTACTGACTGTAAATTTACTAGTGACAATTTACTGCAGAGCAAGTCTTTTTCACCGTACAAGGAGCACAGCAGGAGAAGCATATTGGCTGCGTCTTGTATCTTGTCTTTATGAAAGACAGCAGTTATTGGAGCCAGCTGCATTGGGAACTGTACCCATGCATCTTTCTCCTTTATGACCTGCACTGTCTCAAGTCGTGTTTAGGGAGTTGTAGGAGGTATAAGAGTGCAGCAACTATAATAGGAAATACCGAGAGAGAATTTACCTCAGCCTACCCTATGGCCTAGCATCTAGGCTATTTTCACTGCAGATAGGCAATCGGAGTTCAAATCCTTCCTGACAGGGAATTAACCTCTTTGTCTTCTACATGGTGGGTGAAAACAGCAGTCCCTGTTGATTGCTGTAATGCTGTCATTCTTTTGTAGTTTGCCATTAAAAACAACACTTCTGTAGTCCTAAATTAGGATGTGTGACTTTAAAACAAATAAAAATTAAGAAAATGTCATGAAACTATGTGAAATAAGTATATTCATAATGGTAAGAGTTCCCATGACATAAAAAAGAATTCAAGAAGTATGAGTCTCAAGCTTGAATACGTTGGACATTTGTAAATTAAGCAAAATTTGAATTGGTTGTGGCAATCTTTTCTTTGGTTTGATTCTCTTTTTTTTTTTTTTTTTTTTTGTACTTTCACTGATGGATTTCATGGTCCTAACACGAGATGGTTGCAGTGGTGATGAAATAAATGCATTATTTAGATTTTGGATTTTTTTTAAGATGAAGACATTTAAACCGGTATGGTATGTTCATATAGAGTGTCTTTTAGCTGTAACGAAAACTTTAACAACTACTAAACCAGCAGTCTTTCACTTTGTAAGAATGTTACTCATTTTCTATAGTAATAGCTGCTTAGAAATTTTTGTTCTGTTCTTGAATTCAGTGGCACTACCATTCTACTTAGACCTGAGAGTATTTATTTCTTTTAAATTCTGTCCAAAACCAAGATAGATGTATAGAAGAGTTTTTTACTGCCTCCCAACACTGTAGCATCACACCACACCACATATTACAGAAGCAAACAGAAAGAAAGGCTTGTGTGGATTTCTTGCAGTCTCAGACCACTTAAGAAACACAAACATGTTTCTATGGTTGTTTTAGGTTATCACTTTACTTTCATTGATCCCTTTGTTAGCTGAGAAATTGTTTTCCTTTTGAATTTGAACCATTGTGCTCTCTCTAAAAAGGACAAAATAGAACAGAATCAGAGAATAATTTAAATAAGTTGGAAGGGACCTCTGGAAGTCAGCTGGTCCAACCATCCGCCCAAAGTAGAACTCTGAAGTTAAATCAAGTTGTTCAGTCCTCTGTAAGGAGGACTTAAAACAGATGTTGTTGCTGTTTTCTGAATGACAGGGAATTTGTCCTTTAGGGATATTGGGCTGCAGAGGGCACCTAGCAGTTTATTGCAATGTACCTTAGGAATTCCAGAATGTATGGTGATGTCTCTTGACAATCAAAGATAGTTTTTGCATTACTATGAAGAAGATGTATTCCTCAGTGTCATTTGCAGATGTGCCTCTAGGAAGCCAGTGAAAGACCACAATGATGACATCAGGACCAAAGCTCTTGGTTTTATATCATCCCTCTGGATAGAATGCATCAGACCTCTATCCTGTGCAACAACTGCAATAGAGGGGGTGTTGCAAATATTAGTGAACTGGCTTTATTATACAGTAAAGAAGTGATTGCTTATCAGTATTCAGAAACTGAACACAGTATATGAGTTAAAGTCTGAGTAAGTGGATGGAAGATCCTATTTCCATATATATGCATCATAATGTGCCACAGTTTGGTAGCAGGAAAGACTTATTTAGGACTGTTCTTCAAGTGTCATTTCTTAAGTCCCATTAGCTTCAGTAAGCATGAGGCATGAATGAAATGTAGGATCTGGACTTTACATTAAAATAAATCTCTTTCTGAAATGCTCTTTCAGTTTGAATGCTTTGGTATGACGGCAATGACAATTTTACTTCGGGATGTATGCTAGCAAAAAATAACTCCACACTTCAAGCAGTACAAGGTGCTTAGCAAATGCACATAATTTTGCTAGACAGAGTCATCACAAAAGCGTATTGTAATTATATGAATACAATA